GTGAGTGTTTAGGTGGCGCAAGTGCTGTTGACACTACCATACTCGTTTTCACAGCTTGGAATGCTCTCAGGGATTCTGTTTCAGCTCTTCTATGGCCTCTTAGGTAGTTGGACTGCTTACCTCATTAGTATTCTCTATGTTGAATACAGAACCAGAAAAGAAAGAGAGAAAGTTAACTTCAGAAACCATGTCATTCAGGTACTACCTTCAATATCAATCAATCTCTACTTACTAGCTCTTTCACATTGATGTTGTGAGATACTGATTGACATATTTGGGTTTGAAGTGGTTTGAGGTTCTTGATGGGTTGCTTGGGAAGCACTGGAGGAATGTTGGGTTAGCATTTAACTGTACCTTCCTTCTCTTTGGATCTGTCATTCAACTCATAGCCTGTGCCAGGTACCACAAATTTCTTTCTTCAAGAGATAGATATAAAACTGATTATGATGATGATGTGGTTTAGTAATTAATGACAATGAATTGTACAGCAACATATACTACATAAATGACAATTTGGACAAGAGGACATGGACATACATATTTGGGGCATGTTGTGCAACCACAGTCTTCATTCCTTCCTTCCACAACTACAGGATCTGGTCTTTTCTTGGACTCTTGATGACAACTTACACTGCTTGGTACCTCACCATTGCCTCCATCCTCCATGGCCAGGTTAACTCTAATTACTAATTATTCATGATTAGATTAGCTGGTTCTGTCTTGGCTTAAGGGGACTCAACAAACTTGTATTCTTTCTTGTGTCTTTTTTTGGCCGTATGTTTCAAGCAACATGTGCTTGGTCCCACTTTACCCCCAACCCTATACATTAGTGTCAGACATAGTTTAATCACACATAAATGAACTTGTAGAGAAAGGAAGAGAATGAGCTAGAGATTAGATTAATCCCTGTAATCATTTGATATCAAGTAAGTAACATTTCTGTATGTGTATAGGTAGAAGGAGTGAAGCATTCAGGACCAACCAAGCTGGTATTGTACTTCACAGGGGCCACAAACATTCTTTACACATTCGGAGGACATGCTGTTACTGTGTATGTCCTTGGTTTTTTCCCCTTTTAACCCCTATCAATCCACGTGTCACAAGGGTAAAACCGGAATCAAAGCTTCATGAAAATGACCACTCACTTGCATTGTTTATGTTTGTGTTGTTGGCAGAGAGATAATGCATGCGATGTGGAAGCCACAGAAGTTCAAGTCTATATATCTGTTTGCGACTGTGTACGTTCTGACTCTAACGCTACCTTCTGCGTCTGCGGTTTACTGGGCGTTTGGCGATTTGCTTCTAAACCATTCAAACGCGTTTGCTCTTCTCCCCAAGAGCCTTTACCGTGACTTCGCCGTGGTGCTCATGCTCATCCACCAGTTTATAACGTTTGGTTTCGCTTGTACGCCGCTTTACTTCGTGTGGGAGAAGCTCATAGGGATGCACGAGTGCCGGAGCATGTGTAAACGAGCCGCCGCTAGGCTTCCGGTGGTTATACCCATTTGGTTTCTTGCAATCGTATTCCCGTTCTTCGGTCCCATTAACTCGACCGTTGGATCACTCCTGGTTAGCTTCACCGTCTACATCATCCCTGCACTCGCTCACACTTTCACCTTCCGTTCCTCGGCCGCTCGAGAGAACGCCGTGGAGCAGCCGCCTAAGTTCTTGGGGAGGTGGACCGGAGCTTTCACCATCAATGCATTCATTGTGGTGTGGGTGTTTATCGTTGGATTCGGGTTCGGTGGTTGGGCTAGTATGATCAATTTTGTTCACCAGATTGACACCTTTGGCCTCTTCACCAAATGTTACCAGTGCCCACCACCGGTTATGGCCTCGCCTCCTCCGATCAGCCATCCTCACCTCAATCACACTCATGGCCTTTAAGTAGTGCAAGAGCAACAATTCACAATGAGTAGTCAGTCCCCAGTGCCACCAAAGTTGGCCTTTCGAGATTTGGATTCGTTGTATATCTACCAATGCCCTTATGTTTTGGGTTCGTTTTGCATCTAAAGTTGGTCTATTTCTATTGTCTTTTTTATCTTTGGAAATT